GCACGTTGGTGCAGGGACATTTCACGTGCGCTCCAGTGTACTCAGCGCATGGTGGAGCAGATGGAAGGACCTCGCTAGCACACCGTCCCTCAAACGCTGGGGTGCTGCCCCCAGGCTTATCTCTAGCGAGCCTGGTTTTATCCCTTTTTCCCTTCAAATCCAGTTTAAAGCTCTTTCAGTGAGCCCTGCTAACTCCTGCGCAAAGATCCTGCTCCCCCTTTGAGACAGGCGTACCCCGTCTGTCGCCAGCCGCCCTGGTGTCCTGTAGACCCACCCATGATCAAAAGACTCCAAATTCTGCCGGTGACGCCAGGCTCGGAGCCAGGCGGGGTGGTCACGGAGGAGACGCTCCTGCTGCGCCGGGCAGAGCCTGCCGCAGTTCCCCCCATCCCTTCCGTCGCTGCATTCAGCCAGGGTAGGCTGTGTTCAGCAGAGACCTCTCCTTGGGAAAATCAGGAAGAAACTTTAGAGAACGGGGCAGGTTTAGAGCCCAGAGGGCAGGCGTGGTCAGGGCGGACGTGGTCAGAGCCCCCAGGAGCCAGGGAGGGCTGGGGCAGGCCACGGCGGGCGGCTGGAGACCCATCCTGCGGGAGCTGGCGCGGCCGAGGTGTGCTGCAGTGCCGTGGGGGACCAGGCAGGTGGTTGTGGGGCAGCAGGAGGGAGCGGAGCGATGGCTCTGTGCTGTAAAAGGCAGTGAGGGCCAGAGGGCCAGGTGGGTCCCGGGTCCTGCTGCGTCCCCTCTCCGGGCTTTCCTTCCCAAGGCCCTTCCCGAGGGACTGAGGTTTCCCTGAAGCCTTGTGTGCTCTTTGCCACCAGGAGAAATCTGTTCTGCTGCTGGGCTCCCTGGACGGTGAGGATGCAAGTGGGATGCCGCTGCAGGTCCCCAACCCCTCTGTCTCCGGAGAGAGCTCTGGGCGCTGGTGCCTCCTGGAGCTGGAGCGGCTGGCGAGGGCCCCGGGCACAGCTCGCGTGGGTGCCGCAGCGGGCAGGGGCGAAAGGAGCCTTTCTGCCGGGAGCGGGCTGCCTGCTCTCCTTGCCTCTGACGCGGAAGGCTTGCTGTGCTGGAAGCAGATGGAAACCTTTCTAAAGAAATGTTCTGCGTAGTTGTGTCACTGCAGGTGAACATTGTATTTTTAAGGAATAAACGTTTTTTTTATGGGCAAACCTTGGCCCTGCTGCTTTCTTTCTCTCACCTGGCTTACCTTGCCCGCTGCAGGACGGGAGCCGTTCCCTCCCGCGCCCTCCGCCAGCATGGGGCTTCGCTGTCCTTGCGACACATTGCGAGAGCGCTCACAAGTGTCGGGCCAGCGAGCGATCGGCAGCAAACGGCTACGGAACGCTCCCCGCTTCCCCTCCAGCCTCTGCTGCTGCTTCACTCCACAGGCAGTAAATTCAAGGTCCGTGACCGCCTCCTTCCTTCTGCAGAGCAAACGGAGTTTGCTGAACGTTTGGGGCGGCCGTCTGGTGCGGCACAGCGACACCGGTTTGTACTTGGTGAGGACGATGGGCAGTGAGGCGATGCACGGAGAAAACGGGACCGCGGCAGCCTCCGTGAAGGTGCGGCAGCCTGCAGAGGGGTTCCCTGCCCTGGCTCCACGTGTTGGAGGAAGCTGCGAGCCTGGCTGTGGCCTCTGCAGACGCAGCTGCGGCGGTGAGGGAAGCGAGGCGGCCGGTGGCAACCGGTGCCAGCTGGATCCAGAGACGCAGAGCTCGCTCGGGCAGCTGGCAGCGGCAGAGCCAGGTCCTGGACGAGCAGGAGCTGTCTAGTTTAAAAGGGAGCCTGCGGCTAACCCAGACCCTCCTGGAGAAAGATGCCCTGGAGATACGAGAGCTGGGCTGGGGCTGGGACGTGTCATGGTGTGGGCATCCGAGCGGCAGCAGAACATCGGGAGGGACCTGGGGGGCAGGAGCCAGGAGTCCCCTCGCCCTCGTTAGCGAGCGCATCCGAGCATCCCGGGGTTTGGGTTGCTACCTGGACACCGGTGCTCGCAGTCCCGCGGGGGCAGGAGTGAACGCCCAGCTGTGGCGACGGCTGCAGCGGGACTGCAGCCGACTGCGGGGAACGTGCCGCTGCACCCCGAGCGTCACCCTCTCGTGGACCAGGAGCCCGGCTGCGGTTCCCGGGGTGCTCGTGGCCGTGTTGGCGTGCAAGGAGGTGCCAATTTTGGGTGTTAACACGCGTGTCTTGCGGGTTGCTGTAGATTTGTAAGGCTCTCTGGGGTCTGTAACCCACCACGTACAGCATGTCGTGCAAGATGCTAGCTGTGCATCTATCCCGTCAGCTCTGCAAGCTCTGCAACGCCAGAGCTTTGCAGGGCACCCCTGCGGCCCTGCAGCCCCGTCGCGGGTGCAGAGGGCAGCCGCGCGCCTGGCCCAGCCGGCCCCTGTGAAGAGGCTGCGATGGAGCCCTTGAGAGGCCGGCATGGAGAGCCAAGGTGAAAACCCTCCCCTGCCCCCATCGGCCAGCACCCGGGCGGCAAATTTCCCTTGTGGGTTTCATCTGCCGGAGCTGCCGATGCTGCGGTAGGGGTCCTGGTTACTGGTGGGTAAGAGCGGGGAAAGCGTGGGGAGAGAGGAGATGGATTGAGCAATGATCGATCCCCTGCCAAGGCACAAACACTGTCAGGCGTGGGAAGAGCTGCTCCTTCCCATCTAACCCTGCCCTCTCTCTCTCCACACGAGGTTTCTGGCTCTCATTTCTTTTGGCAGAAAATTCACGTTCTCATCACCCCTCTCCTCCCCTCGGCCGCGTTCAGCTGCAGCATCTCCTCGCCGTCACTGCTCCGCTTCTCCTCCCGCCGGCCGGCAGGGAAGGCTCTCCCGGCCGCTCGAGGCACGGTGGAGACGCTGCCTTGAACACCATCGTTCTGGAGGAAGAGGAGGGAGCCCAGGCTACCGCTGGCCGTGCTGCGAGAAGAAAACGAGGAAGGTAAATGTCAGCCCTTCATTCCAGCTGGGAAGAGGGCGACTTTGCCGCTGAAAATGGGGGAGCAACTGCAGCTCCTTGGGAACAGAAGGGGTGGCTGAGCTGAGCCGAGCCTTTCCTGTGAGATTTCCTTAAATAAGCCCCAGTCCTAAAAATAAGCAGGGGAGTCGTTGCAGAGAGGAAGTGCCATGTTAACGCTCCCAGCGAAGGCATTTTAGTTCTGGTTTTGAGTTAGCAAGATGCCTTCTATGGCATCCCCCTCTGAAGGAGGATTTGCAGTGCTCTGGCTTTTGCCCCCGCTGTGTATCGGCGTTTTCCCCCTTGCAGGCAGCAGCGGTGCCTGCCCAGGCTGGAGCGAGCTCCGCTGCCAGCTCCTGCCCGCCCCGCTGCCGTACGGGGCTCTGCGGGGCATCGCCCGTCGGGGCCGGGGCACCGCCGAGCCGCGCTGCTGCCGTCGGGGGGGTGGTGGTCCCCATCTACCTTCCTCTCATGAGCATAAACACATGCTCGTTGCAAGAAGTAAGGCCAAGTTTTTCAGGGTTAACAGCTGAAGCACGAGTTTATCAGAAAGCTGGCGACGGTGGCTTTTTATAGGGTTGTAGTGGTTACGGTAGGGCCAGACAAGCAGCTGCTTGCCCTGACTTCTCCTTCCTGCCTTGCCCCTGCTCCGCTCCCTCTCCTGCTCTGCCTTCCTCCCCCTTGCGCCAGGGCAGCCCCGTCCTCCGTGACTCCGCTCCCACGTCCCTCCCGCTCAGGCAGGGGCTGTGAACGTGGGCTCTGCCCGGAGCTGGGTGCTTCGCCTGCAGAAAGGTAATTTCCTTCGGTGTGTCTGTCCCTGGGGCTTGTCTGTCCATCTGCTGGCAGCAGCGCTGCTCCCGTCCTGCCGAGAGGCTCCTGCCCGGGCACCGCTCCTGCTCGTCCCTCGGAGCAGAACTCGTGCGGGGAGCTCACGTCCCAGGATCTCTGCTTGCAAAGCTTGGCAGGAGCAGTCAGTTATTTTAGTTTAAGACTGGCCTCTTACGTGCAGCCACTTTGAGACAGTAAATAGAATACATTCCTAAAGGGCTGCTTCTTCCTTCCACAGATTTTCTTTCTTCTGCAGGATGAAAGTCATGGCGAGCCAGGTATCGCACCCAGGGCTGCTGGCGGAGCTCGCCTTGGGAGGGAGCTCGTGGAGGGGCAGAAAGCTGAGGGGCGGCCAAAGCAAGCTGCAGAGCCTAAAGAACAGCTCCTGAGTGGTTATAATAATTTAATAATGAAAAAGCCCCTTTTCAAGCAAGAGATGAACGCCTCCGTGGGCTCTGCCTCACCTAACACGTAACCGGGTGTTGCGACTCTCTGGCCCCTTTGCCAATGCATCCCCGGAGCCCCGGTGGGAGCAGCGCTGCCTCTGCCTGCCCGCAGCGTTAGCTGCCCTGGAGGCAGGACTGCACCAGCCCCTCCTGGGTGATTTACCCCCGAGGCCAGTGCAGGAGGCAGTCGTGGGCACCCAGGTACCCCTGTTTCCGTCGTCCGGAGGTGTTGAGCTGTGCCAGGCGGCTCGGCTGTGCCGCAGCTCACGTTTGTCACCACGTCCGTGCTGAGGCACGTAGTTTTTGTAAGAAACATCAAATGCTTCAAGAATATCTTTGGCTGAATTTCCTTTTTGGTGTGCCCTTCTGGGGAGTTCATAACAACTCATTTATTTATCTATTTTTAATTTATGTAACTTTCTAAATATCTTTAGAAATGGAAAAACTGGCCAAAAGAAACACTGGCCCGGAGACCAGCCCGCCGCGGGCACGGGGGATGGAGCCGGGCCGTCAGAGCTGGGCTGGGCTGGTACCAGAGCCTGTGCAGACCGCCTCGTCCCGCTCCCGCGGGTCCTCACCCTCGCCGCTGGCTCTAGGAGGCGGCCAGGCGTTTATTTGTCATTATTGCCGTAAAGCCCTCTTTGGGAAGGCTCCTTTCCCAGCCTGTACTCTGACCACATCTTTGCTGTGCGCGTGCTGATAACCTCAGTCCTTTCTTCTATTTATGGCTGCTTTTTGCTCTTTGGACCGTGGCCGGGTGCGCTGGGTGCCGGGGAGGCGTCATGGGGCGCCGGCGGCGGCAGGCGCGGGGCAGGAGGAGCAGGAGGAGCAGCCGCAGCCCCTCTGCCCTCGGCAGCGGCGTGGGCACCCAGGTTGGTGTGGGGCGAGGAGCCCCGGGAGGCTGCAAACACCGGGGCGAGCTCCCCAAAGGGGCGGGAGAAGAGACGATGGGGCGTTTGGCCGTGACCTGTGTGGGGCTGTGGGCTGCCTGTGCTGGGGGTAAAGGCGTTGGTGAGGCTTCGGCAGCGCTGGTCAGTGCTGGAAGCGTCCGATTTACAAGAGATGAAGCTCAGTGTTAAGTATTAAATTAAGAAAGAAACCAATTTAAAATGGGGAAAAAAGGCAGAGAAGAGGAGCTTTTGAATAAAAGGGGCCATAAGTCTTATTTAGTGGGACGTGTGCTGCTTTTCAGGGTTTAGAGGTTTTTTTATGACTAAAAAAAGCAAAACCGCACCCTGGAGGGAAACTGCAAAAGCAAAACCCCAAAGCTCTCTTCTCTTCACCCACCCTGGAGGGAAACGCTGCGCCCACCTTCCCGCAGGGTGGGAAGCACCCGTCCCGCCTCCCCGCCCGACGGAGCGCACGGCGGCAGGAGAGCCTCCAGCACGTGGTGGGATACAGGTGGAGGAGAGGAGGGGTGTGCATCCGCACAGCGTCCTCCAAAGGCCGGTCCGAGGCTGGTGTCTTGTCCCAAGCCCTTTCCACCCCCAGCCCACGGTTTTGCTCACGTTGAGCTGCAGTCAGGGGCTGGCCGGCAGCAGTGTTCGGCGGATTTGTATGAAGATGGGCTGCTGGGACCTGTTAGCGTAACACCAAAAGGTTCGGGCCACTGGTGGGGAGCGTAGGAGGGCAGGGGTGAAGCAAGGCGGGTGTCTGGAGGGAGCTGGGCAATGCTCAGGCTCCCGCCGCGGCCAGGGGCGTTTCGCTGGGTGCCGCTTCTTAGGGGAGCAGGAGGGCGAAGAAAGTCCAAGTCTGAATGTATCCAGAGCTGATCCCGAGGCAGCCGCCAATGCCAGCGGCTGAGGGTTAGGTCTGCGGGCGCAGCGTGAGGGCACGCTGGGATGGAGCCCCTGGCTCCGTGGGTTTGCTGTTCGCCGAGCAGCTCCCCGGTGGGAAGAGAAGCGCCTCAGATAAGGTGCCGGACCAAGCAGGGCGAAGCACTGCTTACTGCTGTTCCCCTCGCACGAGTTTTTGTTGCGCTTTGGAACCCGCGGTGCCTTCCAGGTTTGGTGAGGCGCTGGGCGGGCTTGCCTCCATCCTGACTTTGCCCACGTGGAGCATGGCCTCGAGGCTGATGCCAGCCAGGAACGACATTCCCATGGTGAAGAATGGCCAAGTCCCAGCATCAGGACCGCAGGCCCTGCTCTGGCTGCCCAGGGTGCGCCCCGTCTTGTGTACGTGAACCTGATGGTGTTGGGCTTCGTGTGAAAACAGATGGCAGCTAGAATTGGCCGGGGAGCTCTCTGCCAAGCACCGAGGTGCCTCAGGGAGCCTGTGGGGTCTTGGGAGCCGGGGCCGAGGTCCCCCACCCGCTCCCTGGTGCCTCCAAGGCCTTTGCTTAGAAGGTCAAAGTGAGATGGTGCGGCTGGGGCACCTCCAGACCTGCTGGCTCTTCGGAGAGGTGAAAGAGGGCCAAGGGCGCTTGCAAAGACACCGTGTGGCATTTTCAGCAGCTTCTCTCCTAAAGCAAGCATCTCTGCCATGTGCTCCTGACTGATTTTTATATATATATGTTTTTCAGAGGACCTTTATCTCAGCTGTTCTGCCAGGAGAAAGCACCAAAATGCAGCCTGTGCCCCTGCATAGCCTTTCGGAGTTGGAAAGAGCCAGTCTGCAGGAGATTGCCCTCTACCAGCTGCAGGAGAAGCTGCTTGTTGGAGATCTCAGCCTGGCTAAAGGTAGAGGACGGGAGCGGACGGCTCCTGCTGCGGGAGGGCTGAGGTCGGCGCCATTATTGCTGCTCAGCCCCACGCCTGCACTTTGTAACATGGGATGATGTTTATGGAAAGACATTTGTGACACATTTTGGTCTGTTTTATTTTTTGTTCCCTGCTTTGGTCTGACCCTCAAAGGCCTAATCAGCCTTTTGAGGAGGGTTTGTGTGTCCGTAGGAGTGTGAGAATATGACCTTGCCTGTTGTCTGCCTCTGATCCCCCTAATCCAAACCAGATGCAGTATGACTTGACAAGGTCTTCCACTGGGACTGTCTTAATGTTGCTGGGATGGGACAAGCTTTGCTTTTTGGATTAATGTCCAGCACAAAGTCCTGATGCCGGGGTGGGTCTTATGCAAGGCTAGAAGACGTGCTACTGAAATTAATGGGCAGATAAATATAAAGTTCGTTGGAACGGACCTCCTCTGTCCTGCCTACCCAGACATGCAGGCATTGGCTGGGTTCCCACAGCTGCCTGCGTCCCCCGATGCCTACACATCGGACCACGCAAGCATGGCGAGCTGGGGATCAGCTCACCCCTTCCCAAATTCACTCGTTACTCGGGAGCGGAGAGACCACCTCGAAATGCCTCCTCTGCCCCGGGCCGTATTTTGGCATCCCAGCAGGGCAGGAGATGCCTCCAGCTCACCAGCCTGGTGGCGTGGTCCCAGTGGTGCGGGCGCAAAGGGGGCTCGGGGGCCTCCAGCCCCACCGCCCGCTCGCAGCGGGGCTGTCACCAGCACCCCAGGGCAGCTGGGGCTGGGACCTCCCAAGGATGGAGCCCCCCACGTCCCTGGGGACCTGTCCCAGGGGAGCAGCGTTTCCTAGGGCTCAGCCTCATACTGGACAGCAAGTGCTTACTCAGGGCAACATCCAAGTTTGGTTTCCTGTCTTAATTAATATTTGGAAGCTTTCATGCAATGAAATGGCTTCAAGAAGAGTGAAAGAGAAAAAGCTGCCCTCTTATTCCCAGAACTCCCAGTTCCCCCAGGGCTGCAGCACCAGCTGCCACAGACTGCCTTTAAGTCCCTGGGGGACTCTGACCACAAACATCCTGGTTCCTTTTCTTTCTTTTCTTATTTTGAGCTGTTGTGATCCCATTTTCAGTGATACCCTGCAGCAGTAGCTTCTCTAGGGAACAGTGCAGTGCAAAAAGAAAAAAAGAGTATTTCCTTCCTTGCTGTTAAGTGGGGTGCGTTTTGTCCGATGGGCTCTTCTCGTCCGGCAGGATAAGTGCAGGGGGCTGCAAAGTCCTGATCTCATCCTTCTGTGTCTTTTGGACATCACTCTCATGCTCACCTGGGTTTTGAAGGCAGCAGCTGCTGTCGGGGAACCCCTCCTTCCTTTCGTCCGTCTCTGCATCCTTTAGGTCTCTACCTGCTCGTTGATCTTTTTGCAGTTAGTTGGCTGGGAGTCAATGTGTGATGCTGAGGATTAGCTATGAAACTATTGCACTTGCAACATCATTTTCCTATCCCAGCGTCTTAAAGGGAAGTTCCTGATGTTTGGAAATGCCTGGATTTGGTCTGCACAGTCTCCGTTTGTGTCCATCCACCTGTCTGTGCTTGCTCCCCAACATCTACCCACGTGAAATTCCTGCCTTCTTTAATAAACAGCCATTGCGCAGTTGTTATTACTTTCCTCAAGGAAAAGGTGTTCAGCACCTCTTTTTTTAATCCTCGCATCTCCAGATACCTAGACGATGAGGATCACGGGGTGCGCATCCCCTTGTGAACCATCCTTTGGGGCAACCTTCAGCTTGGATACCCTCTGGACTGCTCTTTTCCTTCCAAGAGTTCTTGCCTCGTTCAATCCCAACGAACTTCTGTGGCATCTCAGACCTCACAGCAACCGGCTTCCTTCAGCATGACCCTCCCGAGCTACAGAGCAAACACGTCACGGGCACGACATCTCGTTTTGGCCAAGTCTGCAGGAACAAGTCTGTGGTTTGAGCAGGAGGTGACCAAGAAAGATAAAAATCTTTGACGGATGCACAGCATCAAGCTTGCTCTAATGCATCTCAGTGAAAAGAAGTTGTCCTCACCTCCTAGGGTTGTAGCGGATCGTCTGCGTTACGCTGGCATGGAGACACCGGCTCAGGCTTTCTGGGCAGGGGGATCCTGATGGTTTCTTTACTCTCTGCTGCCTGACGGTTTGTCTCCCTGAGGAACATCTGCGCAGCTTTAGGAGTGGGGTTGTGCCGATGCTCAGCCTCGGCACGTCGTGTCACCCCTCCTGACTCCGTGCTGAGGCGGTGGAGGTTTGCTGGGCTTTTGCTCCCTCAGCTGGGGGTGCTTTGTCGCCAGGGCGTTCTTCTTCTCCTGCTGTCTGGTCATTTGTATGAAACGTCACATACGGTGCTGCAGAATAATTCATGTAGGCTACTCTGTTATGCACATGTTGCTCATACCAGCTTTCGTAGCTGTCTCCTAAATCTTACAAAATAACCCAAACAATTATATAAGCCGCTTCTAGGAAGAGAATTCCTCGGGAATAAGGAGCACAAGGCAGAATAGGGTGATGCGTCCTGGAAGGAGTTAGGGTGGGCAGTGAATGAGTTTTCAGGTCATTGCTGCTGTCCCTGGATGTGCAATGTGGGGAATACTTAGGAGCGGGGCTTGCCTCTCCAGGACCTGTACAGAATTTCTGGTGGTATGTGTTTTGTCTAACTTTATTTGTCTCTGTGCTCTGTAAAACATTCACAAAAGCATTTCTGGGGCTGTATTCCTTTTTCCAGTGTCAAGACCCGACCTCTGAGAATGAATTAGGGTAGCTTTCTGGGTCACTAAGTAACTGCTAGGACATTGTCATTAATTCAGAGTCATATATAACACAGACACAGAATCTGAAGGTGGCCAGAAGAGTTTTAAGCTACAGCCTTTGCACAGCTAAAGTTTTTCCACTGCTCTTTGCCATGTGAGAAGCCATTTGCTGGCGCTGGTGTCGGCCGCTGGCCGCAGTCTCCCAGCGCGTCCCGTGCACAGCCCGCATTCAGTCGCCGCTGCGGCATCAGGCGTTTTCTCTGGTGGGGCATGGCAAGCTGGGGTGCCACCTGAAAGATCAGCTGTGGTTCATTTTGACCCTGTTTTATAACGCCCATTCATTTGCTGGCTGCCCGATGGTTGATGTGCCCTGAGCTGTAGCTTTGTGTGTTGCTGGAGTACACACCTGGATGGTAAGGCAGCAGTAAGCCCTGATGCAGAGGTTTTACAGGGCTGTGGTCTGAGCCAGGTGGGGTGAATCCCACAGCTGGGGTGTCTTTAACCCACGGCTATGGTGTGGTGCCATGGGACCCCCCAGTCCAGGCGCCTGAGTGTGGAAGGTAGGGTCCCTTCCTCCACTTTGGGAGGATGGTGGCCCATCTCTGGGGCTGTTTGCCCCAGGTAGCTGATGGCCAGCATGCCATCCCACGTGGCCTGATGCATCCCCTCTGGGCCACGGCCACGTCAGGCCCATGGCGTCCCTCTGCCCGTGGGAGGTGCCCGTGGCCGTGCTCTGCCTGCGGGGGTGCAGAAAGGCAAATGTCCTCAAGGGGAGACTGTACCAAACCAGCCTCATGATGCAGAACCTTTGCTTTCTTTTCTCCTCCTAGTTGGACCTAAAGGCAGTAAATCTATCCGCCAGAAGCTGGAGAGCTTTTCAAAGGAGAAGAAAGGTGAGCAGCCTCCCTTTTACCCAGGTTTTGGTCCCTGCTCTCAAAGGGAATTGGTGATTTTTGATGGGGCTGAGCTGGGAGGTGCCCAAATTCAACCCCGTGCTTTGTCCCGTGTAGTTTTGCTGTTCTCCAGAGTGGGGTGTAACGATAGGTGCACAAGCATGAGCGTCTGGAAGGGACGCACGTGTGTGTGGACGACGTGTGTGTGCGCATGAATGTGCATTTGTAAAGATGTACACATATGACTATTTCTATCTGCCCATTTTACCCCTGGTCTCGCTGCTTTGAGCTCTGTTTTATTGTCCCTTGAAGGACATCACAAACCTGGGGAAACCACAAGCGTAGAGCACAGCCAGCTGGGAATGAGCACTTCCTAATTTTCTTCACACCAGTATAAAGTCCGCTCAAGGGAATCATCGAGCCGCAGCCTGATATTTTACAAAAAGGGTTTGTGTCTTGTACTCTGGTTGCCAAAACCCCATGGCCCAGGGTGGTGTGGAAGCTGGAAGTAAGGAGAGCTCTCCTTGCATCTGCAAGGAGGTGTGGAGGGGGAAAGTTATTTGGGAAAAATGCCATTAATACCAAGACTGTTACTCTCGAACAGACATAGCTGACGCAAACCCTGTAGAAAACTGGAGGTTATAATTTGGTGAGAATCTTTTGTATCGACTGTTTCTGGTGATTTGTGAAGTCTCCACTTCATAGACGCTATGGCATCTTCATGAGGCTGTAGCCAATAAAAGGAAGGAAAGTTCAGGGAACACTGGGCCAGGCTGCCCCAGGCACGCTGATGCAGGCCAGTTTTCCTGCCATCTTCCCAGCTCCCCTGCGTCTCCTGCCTCTCCCTCCAGCACGGCCTCTCCCACGCCGTGCCCTCCCCGCTCGGCTGCCTGGCTGCCCTGCACCCTGAGCCCCAGCACGCAATGACCCAGGGCTTTCCAGGGGCAGCAGCTCCCCTCTGGGTTTGCCCGGGGTCGCTGGGGATGCTCTTCCCACCCACCCAGGCACTCCTGGCTCCTGGGGAGCTGGAGGGGGAGCAGGGAGCAGGAGGGGACAGGGCATGCAAGGGCACTGATCGCTATGGGACTGCCGTCCTGGATTCAAGCTACAGATCTCCTTGTCAATGGTTTTACATGTTGTCCTCTTCGCTCTCCTGCTGGTGGTTACCCTTACAGTAGCCTGGTATTCCCTTCTGTTGGTTAATTATTTTATCCAGGTGTGCATGTGTGCCCCTCCCACTTGATTTTCCTGCTAGCGATACTTTTCCCTTTCTCCCATGTTTTTCCCTAGACTGCTCTCCTCAGACTTTTGGGATCCCCCTCTTCCAAGTCATCGCCAATGACCGCGCCTACAAGCAACTGCAGGAAGCCGTGAAGAAGAGCCGCCGGCTCTGCCTGGAGGTGGAAGCGACAGTGACAAGATTTCGGGCTCAGAGGCAGAAGAGGTCCCCGATGGGCAGGGGCTGTGGCCTGGCACCCTGCGAGGTCTTCCCAGAGGAGCCGCTTTCCCCAGCTCTTCTCAACAACAGCACCTGGAGCCAGCGACGGGTACGATTGCAAAAACGGGCTGCACGGTGATGGTGCTGCAGGTTGGGGGAGGCTCCGACTTCAGCAATAAATATGGTTTCCCAGGGTCTTTTCTTAATGAACGTGAGTTATTCGTGCTGTGTGGTGGGTTGGTCCCCGTCTGCCCTCAGGGAAATGGGGTGCCCCTGCTTCCCCCAAGAGATGGACTGTGAGGGGTGGGAGAGGCTTTACTAGCTCAGCTCTTACGGAGCCCAGGTTACCAGAAGGACCTGGCCAGGCAGCCAAAGGTAGGTAGGGGTAGGAGGAGATTCATCATCAGTGGCGTGGATTTTTCTACTCCTCCATTGCATTGCATCTTGGTGAGCAGCACTGCGAGCAGATACGACTTCTCCGTGAAACCGCGTCGCCTTTTTGGCACTGTCGCGGTTGGACTCTGGGCCTCGCAGTTGCAAAATTCCCACCATGAATTGTGGCCATCGATGGTGGGTCATGCTGGCTCCCTGGCCACGCAGCAGGGAGAGACCCCTCGCTGCTGTGGGGACATCCCCTGTGCCGCTGAACTGCTCTGCTTTTGGTATTGACTGCCCTTGTGTCAAAGGGCAAGGAAGATGGTGTCAGCCGTGGCCACCTCCTGGGCTTTAGTCCTGTTTCCTGCGAGGGGAGGTGAGTATTGGGCAGGGTTTGGTTCGCCTCGTCTCTTTGGAGTAGAGACCCACGCCTGCCTCTTGCTAAGTGCCTGTAACCCCTGCAGCTCCAACACAGGTAACTAAATCCAGTATATTGCGCAGTCAAAGGTGAAAGATTTGGGGATGTTTCCTCTTCCCCCATGTCTGCATGCGGTGTAGGGTCTGCCCCAGTAGGAAGGCTGTGTTTAGAAACCCCTCGTGCTAGGAGCCGTGCACATAAACAAATGCACGGGAGATGAAAAGTCTCTCCGGTTCTCTTGCAAGCCCAGGCAGGTCTGTAGACTCTGTGTTCATTTGGAGGTGATGCCTCCCTTTCCCACAAACTTCTGAGGTCACAGCAATGACAGTGTACTGGGATCTTGTGGGGTAATTCCTGCCACCCTGTGAATCACCTCTGCTCCATCTCAGGGGGCAATGTCCGTGGACTCCATCACCGACCTGAGCGACAACACGTCCAAGCTGCTGGAGGCACTGCAGTTGTCACACCCCCACGAGCTGGATCCACGGAGAAGCCTGGGCAAGAAAAACACGTTGAGCCTCAACCCCATCACCTGGCAGGTCCCGCGGATTGTGGACAGATGTTGCAAGCACATTGAAACACACGGTAAATACGCACGTCCCTCCAGCCTGTCCCACTCTAGGTTGGTAAAATCCCATCGTACGTGGTGGGCTGGGGCAGTTCGGCCCGGCCGCTCCCCGAGACGGCAGGAGGCAGCTGATTCCTGGGGCAGGGCTTGCTCCTGAAAAGCCGCCCGGGGAGAGTCCTCTGGGCTGGGTGCAGCACCTGGGCTGAGAAGCGAATGTCACCGTGCCTATCAGTGACCCATCTCCTGGTGCGCTCTGGCCTTAACTCCCCCTGCAAATCCAGCATCTAGCTTGGAGGGACCGTACAGGTGAGTTCTCCTCCCTGACCCGCAGACAATCAACGCCAGAAAATCTTATGACTCCAAAACCTTTCTTTTTACCCCCTCTGCCAGGAGCGGGGAAGGACGCGCTGCCTCGCGTGCAGTGCTAGAGAACCACTTCCAGGAGGCTGAGGTGCTCCAAGGACTGGTCGGGGTGGCAGGGAGCCGTGGAAACGCAGAGCACTAACCTGTCTGTCTCCCAGGTCTCCAAACGGTGGGCATCTTCCGGGTCGGGAGCTCCAAGAAAAGAGTTCAGC